TATGGCAAAGAACAGCATTGTAGATTCAGCCATGACCGAGGACGAGGCTGAACGAGGGGTGCATTATTAATTCCAGTGGCTCTCAATAATACTTTTAGATTGCCGTCGAACAACGAAAGAATCTGATAACCTTTTTGATAAATCTTACAACGCTCGCTGTCACATGGTTGACCTCGACGAATTTCGAACATTCATTGAACACGGTCATAGCCTTTGGTTTTCCCCCAACAATAAAAAATATCAGACAAATTCAACGAAACAGGGAGGTGCGTCTCGTGTCACGTGAAAGCACTTTCTCAGGCTTGGGAGTTTTCCCCGCGCGTGGTAAGGCAGGGGCTGAGAAGATCGGAACGGCCGAGGGCCAGAGCAACGTACGCATCACTTGCAGCTCTCTGCGCCGGGACTCCGAAGTGGGTTTAAAAAAGAGGACCCGGTCTGCAAAGCCGCGGTGCCTGGGCCACCTGCTTCCGTGCAGATTAAGTCTTACGTTAGAAGTGAACTCTAGAACTTACCTTTTCTCGTGTCCTTCGCGTTCTCTTGCAGTCAGAAGTTAGCTGAGCTGTTTTGCCTCCAAGGAGAGTGTAAGCTGTCGCTCCGCGTGAGGGCAGGTCTTTCTCAAGAGGGAGGCGCCCTTAATGGCCATGGACTATTATGGAGACGATTCGTTCAAGCAAAAGCAAGAACTGGCGATGCCGCTGCTGGAGGAGCGTTCCAGGATCAAATGTGTCAAGTTTCCGCTCGTCTACCACGTGCTTTTACCGCGGGCCATGCTGATTGAAGCCGTTTCCCCGGGACCATGGCGTACGAAACGATTACATTTTGGCCCTTTCCCTGCCTTCGCCGACGTACTTGAGGTTTTGCAAGTCCAATCATCGTCCGACGTGCACGCCTTGGGTGGGCAAGAGAGTCACAATTTCTGTGACAAGCAGGCCCCCCCCGGCCTGGGCTATTTGCAAAGACACGATCGTCTGACGCATGTCAACGGCCGAATTGTGCACTCCCTCAAGCACGTCCAGGAAATTCTCCTGGAAATGGAAGAGGATGGTGCATGCGA